AACTCCAAGCCCCCAAACCCTAAACCCCAAGCCCTCAAACCCTAAACCCTAAACCTCCAAACCCTGAATCCCAAACCCTCAAACCCTGAACCCCTACACACCCTACGCCCTAAACCATGAACCCCAAACCCCTAAACCCTAAACCTCCAAACCCTCAAACCCTAAACCCTAAACCCCAAGCCCTCAAACCCTGAATCCCAAACCGAGAGGCGCGAGAAGGTCCGCGAGACGGTCTTCGAAGTCCGAAGCTTCTCGGGGAATTTGACTTGGGAGGACCCCAGAAGTTCTGGTTTAGGGCTTTAGGGTTTTAGAGTTTAGGGTTCTGGGGTTTAGGGTATTCGGGTTTGAGGGGTTTAGGGCTTTAGGGTTTTAGAGTTTAGGGTTTGGGGGTTTAGAGTTTAGGTTTTTAGGGTTTAGACTTTTAGGGCTTCAGGGTTTTAGGGCTTAGGGTTTTAGGGCTTTAGGGTTTTAGGGTTTAGGGAACCACGGTTTAGGTCTTGCGGTTTGGAGCCACGGTTTAGGGGTTTATAGCGTTGTCCATTGTTTACTACGGGAACAGTACAGGAGTGAATAGTGATACTGGCCCTTAGCGGTTCCTTCCAAATCTGGGATATAGGCTCGGTTCAAATCTTCATATCTGTAATTGAATTTCATAGGTTTAGAGTTCACTCATTTCAGGGTTTGAGGTTTTAGGGTGTTATGGGGCCCCCTTAACAAAAATGAGTAAACGGCTTGAGGGGGTTTCTGGGGAACCTATTTGGTACGGTCTGTTGGGGTCATACACCTTGACTGGAAACATCTCGAAACCCTAGAGCCCTAGAGTGCATACCGACACCCGCGAAACCCTAAACTCCAATCCCTAACCCTAAAGGTGTTCAGAGTGCAGGGCTTGCAGCCACAAAACCAGCAGAGCAATTGCGCTAAGTGCCTTGTCGTTAGGGTGTGTCTGCGGGTGCTACGAAACTTAGTTCTCCAATACCTAACCTTCAATTTTTTGGGGTTCTTATAAGAACTCAGTAGTAATCTGAAAGTTTAACCTTTTATTTTTGCGGCTTACCCACAGGCCCCATAGTAGTTCCTTTTTGTGGCTTAGCTTTAGGATTCTATTAGGGAATCCCAAAAAGAAACTACTATGAGGCCTACGGGTATATTGATCATTTGGGGGAAGTAAGTAAACGTTGATCATAGCGTGGACAGGCTTCTAAGACTTCGCTTTCAAGGCTTAGGACTTTTCGCCTAAGGCTCCGTGTACCTATCTGGTAGATGCATAGGCTTTAAAAGAACTACATATGAGCCCCTTTCAGGCCGTAGTATATACTATATGGGTGCATGGAGCCTTTGGGTAAGCCTAGGGATTACAGGCATTCATTAAACCCCGAGCTCCTTTCCTAAAGCCCGTTCGTTTAGGGCTGAGGTTCGAGTTTCGGGTTCAATGTTTGGGTCGGTCTGAGTCGGCCGTTGTAGGGTTTGAGCTTTAAACCTTACAAGGCTTTAGGACATAGTCCCTAAACAGCCCTAAACCCTTAACCCTCAGCCCTAAACCCTAAACCCTAAACCCAGTCGGGGCTAGGATCTAGGGAGGATTTACAACTGTAATACAGGTTTGTCACGGCCTTCGCCTTCAGGGTTAAGGCCTCGCGGTTTGGAGTGTGGGTTGGTGTAGGTTTTCCAGGTTTTAGGGTGTAAGATTTGCAAGGGCCCTAATAAACCCAAAACCCTCAACCCTAACCCCACCTAAACCCTAACGAAACAGGAGATCGCCAGCGTGAAGGAGACCATGGACACAGGAGCGACGATCGCTCAAGGCGGGCTGCACTTCTTCACTACAAGGTGTTATTTGCTTTAAAGATCTGTAACCTACCTTGGTTCTTGCTATAATGCTATGGCATATCAATAACTTACCAGAGTACTATGGATATAGTATGGCAACATTTACAATGTTCTATGAAAACTACATATACATACTATGGGGCAGCTATGGGCTTAAGCCTAATTAGAGCTGGGTTTCATGTTTTGTTACGGGTGTCTGCAGGGTGTCATAAGGGGTGTATGTGATTGTGCAAGGGTCGTATCAGGTGTATCAGAGCTCGGAAGAAGTGCTGCCAATCCTTAGGGCTCTCCAACAATGTTTTGGGATGGATATCTCCGATCCCCAGGTCTAATTATGCTCGCTCCGTCATGCCCTCATATTTGAAGAAATTGTGCAGTTAGTTTGGTCTGGGGCTTGTGCCTTCAGGGCTTGGGGTTCAGGGACCCAGGGCCTATGGTCGAAACCCTCAGCCCTATAACCCGAAACTTTAGGGTTTAGGGTTTAGGATTTAGGTGTTTAGGGTTTAGGGTTTACCTAAGCCCCTAAACCAGACGTACTGTTTATTACGAGAGCGGCCTTCGAAAGCAACCTAGATCGCCAGGAGTGAATTTACGCCGCCCCACCGCACGAGGAGGATTCCTGGGGTTCGTAGTTAAGTTATCAGCGGCCCCTAAACCCTAAACCCGAAACCCTAAACCCCAAACCCTCAACCCAAGGTCAACCGACCCTCTGCTTCATGTTGGATCTAGGGCAAGCTTCAGGTTGCATGGGCTTAAGGCTTAGAGTTTACTCCTTCCTGTAAAGCCCTAAACCCCTGAAGATTAAAGCATGTTGAAACCGGTAAAGGCCTAAGCTTTTGCATTGCATGTCGTTGGAGTACAGGGAGAAAACTGGTCGACCACCTGCATTGTCCACTGTTCACGCTGGGTCGGGCTCTTTGCTTCTTCAGGATTTTTATATCATCATGTTAACCACAACCATCGGAGGAATCATCCTTCTATGCTTCTATATCATCCACTCTGTTCCTCTATACCCTGCACCCTAAGCCCTAAACCTTATGCCCTAGACCCTAGACCCTTACCCCCAACAGTTGCACCCTAAAGCACCACGAGAGAGGCTGGACCTCATTCACCGTGGCGGGATCGGGCCCCAATGGCACAGCAGTAGGCCGGACCCCGTCCTGCTATGCGGGAGAACTGGGAGGTTCATGCGTAGCTATAAGTAGGGTTATAAGTAGGGTAACCATAGATATACCCTATATTAAGGGACGTTTAACTCCTCTTCTAACTTGTTTAGTCTTTGCGGATGTAGGGTTTATGGCTTCGGGAAGTCGTGGAGAGTCTTTGTGCATTGGAGGCTTCCTGGGCTTGAAAAATGTGCGAAAACCTACACCCCAAGCCCTAAACCCTAAACCCCAAAACCCAAGACTTTGAAGCAGAAACTCTAGCCCCGAAACTCTCTAAACCTCACCCTAAACCCTAAACCCCTAAACTCTGAACCCTAAAGCCTTATGCCTGAGCAGCCCTCCAGGCCCGAAGCCCGGACCACTAAAGCCCCATAGCTCAAGTCTCGTCCTTTGTTGCTGAACTCTTCGGAGTCTTTGGGTTTAGGGGTTTGGGGGTTTTCGGGTCTTGGGGTGGGGGTCTAGGGTTTAAGTTTTTGGGATTTGGGGTTGAAGGTGCAGTCTTCGAGGCTTGGGGTTCGGGGTTTAGGGTCCACTGTCTGGGATCCGGGGTTGAGGTATGAGGGCCGAGTTCAGGGTCCAGGTTTTAGACTTCCCTTAACATGTTTATAAAGAATTTAGGCTTGTCTTTAGGTGTACATGAAGGATTTAGACTTGTCTTTAGGTGTTAATGAAGGATTTAGGCTTGTCTTTAGGTGTTTATAAAAGATTTAGGCTTGTCTTTAGGTGTTTGTAATAGGATTCAGGCTTGTTATACAGGTTCTAAACGGGCTCTGTTTTGGGGATTTAGTGGTTTGCGCTCTAGGCTTGAACCCAATTTTCCCTGAAGCCCACTCCTTTCCCAAGCACCTAAACCCTAAACCCTAAACCCTAAACCCTAAAACCCTGAACCCTAAATGCTCAAATGCTCAACCCTAAACCCTAAACCCTAAACCCTAAACCCATGCACCAGGTCGACTTAGAGAGGCTCGGATAGCCACAGCTCCTTCAAGTGAGTAGTTGTCAAAATTAGGGTCCCTTTTGGGGTACCCTAAATAATAGGTGCCGTATTATAATAAGGACCCAAAAAGGGACCATCATTTTGACAACCACCCAAGTAGCATCAGCATCAACTTTGCAGGGTTTAGAGTTTAGGGTCTGGGGTTTGCAATGCCATCAAGCAGTGCTAGTGTTGTTTGTTGTGCTTTTCTTCGCCAAAGAGCCAGCGAATCTAAAGCGCTACTCCAAACATGCACAAGGCCACGTTCTAGAATCTGCTTAAGCATTACTTGCATGGTTGGTTTCACGATGGAACACGGTATCCGCGCACACCCGCAGGAAACCTTTGGGTAGTTTCCCTAGACTCCTAGACCTCAAGCTGTGGCCCAAAAATCCTACCGCTTTAAGCAGGTTTATGCCGAAATTTTGATGAGGAGCCCTGAAGATGTCATCAGGTTTTTGCGATCTAACCCCCCCGTCCCCCCCAAAAAAAAGCAGCACCATCTTCCCTTAGAGCCCGAAACCTCAAGAGCCCCTGATCCTCGCAGACCCCCCCAAATCCCAAATCCTTAAACGCCAAACCCAAACTTAAATTAAATACCTGAACCCCATAATTACCCTTGACAAGCCTTTTGAATCCCAGGGTTTAGGTTCAAATAGGGTCTAGTGCCCTATACTTATCAAATCCCGATCCCTAAAACAAGAGCCGCGCAGACCAAGAGCCACGTAGACCAAAACCCTATAAGTAAGCAACAGAGCTTACTAGATTTTAAGGTGTATTCCTTAATTAGAGGGATTTCCAGTCTCGGAAATTTCTGCACCGACTGAGCTGCCCTAATTCCTTAAGCCCTAAAGCCCTCCACCCTACCCCCATACCCTCAAGCCCTAAACCCCTCAAATCCTTACCCATAGGCCCCATAGTAGTTCCTTTTTGGGGTTACCGAATCGGATTCCATATATGAACCCCAAAAAGGAACTACTTTAGAGCCTATGGGTAAACCCCTAAATCCTTAGAGCCCTGAACTCCAGGGCAAGCCTTCCGGGTGCGGATCCTCCCCGATGCCTGCGCCTCCAACGGCGAGCTCATGCGCGGAGTGCGCTTCCGAGGCCCGAGCCATAACCCCAAGGGTCCACGTACCTGTAAAGGGTTCCTTGAAGGGTACCATCAGGGTTTAGGGTTTAGGGTATAAGTAGTCCCTATATAGGTACTTGGGGGCTAAAGTATATACTATTTGAGCACATGGACCCTTAGGGTAATCCACAAGCCTTCATGACTAGAATAGGGTTCCTTGAAAGGGGTCATTGAAAGAATCAGCGTAGGATTCCTTTTAAGAGTTACTTTTTAACGGTTTCCATAAGGGTTACTATAAGGGTTCAGTATAGTGGCCTTAGTCAGAACAGGGTTCCGTGGTGTATGAGAGTAGCAAGAGATAGTATTTCTCTGTATTACTACTTGTTCCAATCCCAGACAGGAGGCGTGCAGGTCTCCCGTGATCTTGGATCCTGCGCTGTAGCGCCTTATTTCATGGGTCCGATCCTACAAAAAGAACAAGAGGAGGTAATAGTTGAAAGTATTGGTCCTACATTGTAGGGTCTAAGTTGCAGGGTGTAGCATTTGAGGACATAGGGGGATCAGGGACTAGGCATTCTTGGTTTTTATTTGGGGATAGAGCTTAGACGCTGAAAACTAAGCCAAGAGGATTTTGAGGACACCAGGGTTTCTGCAGTTGTGTCCTAAACCTTAGGGTTTAGGGTTTAGGGGTTTACGGTTTAGGATTTATGGGTTTAGGGTTTAATTAGGGTTTAGGGGTTTAGAGTTTAGGGGTTTAGGGTTTAGGGATCCCTTGCCACGGAAGCCTTCCTAAGTGTGGTGTATGTAGGATCTGGTGGTTCGGGGTCTCAGCAGCTCTCAGGTTTAATTAGAGTAGTTTCAGTTTCCCTAAGGGTCCATGTACCCAAATAGTATATACTTTGGCCTTAATGTAGTCCCTATATAGGTACTTTGGGGCCAGTGTATATACTATTTGAGTACAGGGACCCTTAGGGTTTAGGTTCTAGCTGCGACCGTTTAAGATAAACTCCTTAGCGATCGTGTGCTTACAGTGAGGCTACACTGATCCTTCCAAAAGTCGTCTTGGCGCTAGCAAAACACCCCCAAGCTTCATCGGTGCCGGCCCTTGAACGGTTTATCCTTTCACAGAGAACCCTCAACCCAGAAAGACCTGCAACCCTAGGGGTATGAACCCTTTAATTGGCACCCTAAACCCTAAACCCCTAAACCCCTAAACCCCTAAACCCCTAAAGCCCTCAACCCTAAGCCCTAAACCCTAAACCCTAAGCCCTAAAGCCCTAACCCCTAAACCCTAAAACCCTAAGCCCTAAACCCTAGACCCTAAAACCCTAAAGCCCTAAACTTCAGGGTTTTCTTCAGCCCCGACCTTTCCGGATCCAATCGAATCCAGAAGCCCGAC